TTTTTTTAACATACTTTTGGATATATACCAATAGTGGAGTTGCTGGATTATATTGTGGTTCTACTTTTGAGAGAAACACCATGTTGTTTTTCTATAATAGCTCTACTATTACATTTCCACCAAGAGCATATAAGAGTTACTCTTTCTCCACATTCTTGCTAATATTTTTATTATTATTTTCCTTGTCCTTTTGATAATAGACATTCTAACTTGGGTGAAATGATATTTCAGTATGGTTCTGATTTGCATTTCTCTGATAAAACATTCTTTCATTTATTGGCCATTTGTATATCTTCTTTTGAGAAGTGACTATTCAGTTCATCTGCCCATTTTAAAAATCTAATTGTTTTCTTTTTTATTGTTAAAGCTTTTGAGATCCTTATATATTTTGGATGTTATGCTCATGTCAGATGAAGAGTTTACAAATATTTTTTTCCATTCTATAGGTCATCTCTTCAATCTGTTGTTACCTTTACTATGCAGAAGTTTCTTAGTTTAATATAATACCATTTATCTATTTTTGTTGTTGCCTGAGCTTTTGAGGTTCTTACTCCATACCACCAAATCTTTTCCCATACCAATGTTTTAGAGTATTTCTCACAGTTTTATTTTTTTAAGTTTCATGTCTTACACTTAGGTCTTTGATCTATTTTGAGTTGTTATAGTGGTTGTCATTTATGATGAAAAATGGAGGTCTACTTTCATTCCTCTGTATGTGGATATTCAGATTTCCAGCACCTTAATCTCTTTAAGAAGACAAGACATAAATATACAAAATTATGTATTAGTATAAGATATAAATTAAAGATCAAAAGAATAGTAAGCAGTGATAGACATTAAATAGCACTGAAAAAATGCTATAAAAATTCAGAAATATTGGGGCTGAGGTTGTGGCTCAGTGGTAGAGGGCTTGCCTACCACGTGTGAGGCACTGGGTTTGATCCTCAGCACCTCATAAAAAAATAAATAAATAAAATAAAGGTTAAAAAATAAATAATTCAGAAATATCACCTGGGCTAGAGTGCATTTGTGAGAATTACAGGAGGAGCTGAAACTTAGATAAAGAGCAATGACTTTCCAGAGAGAAATGGGCCTATAATTGTCTAAGCAGATGAGTGCATAGAATACTGATTGTACAGGGAAAGATTTTCCATCACTGAACAGAGTGTATACAGAAAAATTGAAGAAGTAAATCCAGAGCATTTCCGAAATTTCAGCCAATCGTGTCAGGTCATTTTCATGATTTTTGCATTAACTATGCACCAGTTTTTATTTACTTGATCTTTTTCTATTTCTTTCTTTCTTTTTCTTCCTACAGTGCAGGGGAGTGAACTCAGGGTCTTTCACATATTAGGCTAGTGCTCTAACCCTGAGTCATCCCCTTAGCTCTACTTATTTTTAATTTTTTAAAATTTCTTCATCCCAAACTCTACTATCTGCGAGTTTGATAAAAGATTTATACATTTTTTCCCAATAAAAATATTCAGCCTCTGACATTTTGTTATAGTAGCCAAAACAGAGCATACATCTGGGAAATCGGCATTTTTAACAAATAGAGAATCATTGACTGTTTTGGAATATAAGGGATGTAAGATGAGTTGTAATTCAGAAGGAAATTTTCTGGTAGTTATGTGTGGAATGGGCACCTTCATTGTGGAGATAAGAAGATAAGTAAAAAAAATCTGACAGCTAGCTTAGTATAATAAATTAAAATGGATAAGTTTAAAGGAATTATTATGAGGAATTGGATGTGGAGTAGAGGGAAAGGAAGATGTTAGAGACTCTGGTTAAATAACCAGACAACATGAAGGTAGGACCAATCTATATCTAATGTCTTAAAATTGTTTAGCTTACTCAAAGACACAGAAATAACCTCCTGAAAATGGACTTTTGAGTTATATAATAGTGCACATATTTAGGGAAGAGGGTTTTATTAAAAATATAAGCATATTTTATAAATATAACGATAATGTATACCGCTGAAATCTTGTCTCCTCAGTTTTCTACACATAAATTTCAGATCTCTCCAGGTTCAGGAGAGACCCAGAGACTCAGCCTTATTCATGTCACAAACCATCCAGGTTTTCACAAAGTACTCAGCTTAAGTTTTCCATATTTCAGACTATTAGGCAGTCTTCTTGAGCAACTGTTGATTTTTAAGATATGTGCTAATAGCACAAAAACTATGCCCAACCTTGATTTTCTGCAATTTCCTTAACAATTGGTGTAGACACATTTTTAATATAACAAACATGGTTAATTGTGTTTTAGCAAGCAAGAAAGTTGCACTATCTAGGACTTATGTTGTCAGATATAAGTGAGTTGATCATCTGTGAACAACTTTGCCCTTCATAGGAATGGTAAAAAGGAGAATGAGTCTATATTTCCAAAGGGTGTTGCTGTCACTGTGATTTACAGCATAACTAATAAGGTGAATGGAAATTGCATGAGACTTGAAGCAGGAAGAACTCTTTCTCTTTTTTTGGTAGGGGGTTACCAGGGATTGAACTCAGGGCACTTGACCACTTGATCCACATCCCCAGCCTTATTTTGTATTTTATTTAGAGACAGGGTCTCACTGAGTTGCTTCATGCATTGCTTTTGCTGAGGCTGGCTTTGAACTTGGGATCCTCCTGCCTCAGTTTCCTGAGCGACTGGGATTATAGGTGTGTGCCATGGCGCCCGGCAGGAAGCACTGTTTCTGATTCCACATTTTACTGCCTCCTATGCTGAGTGATGGGAGGTGTATAACCTAAATGCTTGGCATTTCTGTTCTTTTCTTAATTTGTAAAAGATACAAAAAATTGTAAAAACCACACAAAAAATTGGGTAATAAAATTTCTTCTCTATTTCCTTTACAGAATAGACAAGAGTTTCAAATGAAGTGACACACAGGGGACCTGTGCACTACAGTGCTCTCTTCAATGTCAGCTATACCATAGCGTTTTTGTTTTTTTCCTAAACAAAAGGAACTGAATCCAAACTTTTGTAGTTTGTCCTGATTAATAGTTGTGGTTTAGGCATAACTTTCTTAAAAGAAAATATGTACATTGAATAAGAAATATTTGTGGAAAATTATATATTAGGTGTAGTTGTTTACTTCTAAAATAGTTCCTATGTAATTTCTTTAAATGGTAAAATTTCAAAAGTAATTTCATTTGATAATTCTAAATTTACATGCACTGTTCACATATATGCATAAAAAGAGGAATTTAATAATTTTGACCATATGGAATCAATGGGAGGGCAAATCCCTCGCATTGCTATGATGCCCAATGTCCCATGTGGGTCAAGCCTCAGGATTTCTACCACTGAGAAGATATTCTGTAAACCTTTCATAGTTTGTGTTTACAGAAACTATGTAACTATGATTCGAATCTACTTGCCTATGAGACTTTCAAAGCAGAAAGCAATTGCTATTTGTCATAATTCAAAAGGCTTATATTTGACTAGTCTAGACTGGTAAAACTAACTTTCCTAAGAGAAAGATGGCCATTAGACTGGGAGTGTTAGACGATTATTTTAACTTGAGAAGGTAAATGACCAATGACACTTTAGCAAGTCCAGTGGACAAGCTCATAGTCTGTGTTTTAAATAAGGAGAAATCCAGTGTTTAATATAATGATAACACTGGAAAAGAAAGGCACAGTTTTTTCCCTGGTAATGTTTATCCCTGATAAAGGGCAACGTGATCATGCTTATGAATTTAAATACTACTACTGAAAATGGTGACATGTCCAACGTTTTCTTGGGCATTTTTTCCAACAAAAGAAAAATTAAACAAAGTATGGACTTATTAAAGATTTTAATGAACATAAATATTTATATTATTTCCTGATTTTTTTCCCAAAAGAAGAAAAGAAAAGGTCTAAATCAATAAGTCATTAATCTGTCCCTTCCAGAGGGGCTGAGAAATCCTGGAGAGATTGTGTACAGCCTCAGAAGGCATAAAGCCATCACTTTGCTAGATCTCCTTCTTATAATTAGTTTATTACTGTAATTTATTTAGTGAGCATTTCCAGATGCTATCTCTGTTGTACTGTGCATCTTCAATTTATCACTAGTGATATGAGGTATCACTCTGCATTTTAACTACAAGAAAAAAAGAAGCTTAAGGCCTTGTATATGATAATTATATCAGTGGGAATTCAAATATCCACTTGGATTAAGCCATACTGGGTGCCTGATTGCACCTTGTTATGCTGAAATTTTGAGTGACTAGTAGAATCCATTATTCACCCACAGTGGTCTGGTTTCCAAACATTTATTATCTTATTTTTCTACTGAAATCTATCCCCCTTATAACTTCCTTTGGTCTTTGTATATTGTATATTACATTCATATACATGACCCATATCCCTGAATGAGAGCCCTTTAAATATTTAAAGCTAGCTGTCACCTCACCACATTCCCTTCTTATTTCTAGGATAAATATCTCCAAATATGGATGAATTCAGCATTATTCTGAAAAGCCATTTCATGGTCTATATTTTTCTCATGAGTGTTAAGATAGGTCTCGTTTGTCATATTTGACAAATGAGAAAACTGAGCCAGCACTGTGAAGTGTTGTTTGTTTACATCTCCCCCACATAATGCTGCATTGGTTCTCTATAGAAGATGGCCCGCACAGGACCAACTATTTCCTGTCATCTGGTACTTGTGTCTCTTGCCCCACTTTCTATCAGCAAATGGGTAGGATTATGGTTTATACATGAGGTCATTCACACAGAAGAATCTGCTAAATTTCAAACCCTTCCCTTGCCTTCCCAGGTGCACTTCTAAGAGACTCCAGTGCCTCCTCCATCCCTTCTGTGCTTCAGTTTTTCACTGAAACCTGGAGTCTGGCACATTCAAGAAGTTAACTTTCATGAAGATGAGCGCTATATTGCCTGTGAGTTTTAAAATCTTTTCTGTTGATTCTTGACCTACAGCTCAAAAGAAAAGCAGGAAAATAAAGTATTATTTGGTATTCTGGAAATCACTAAAATATAGTCATAGCAATGTTTTTTGAATTATTCCACACACAAATGCAAGAGAGACTCAGTTGCCTCGCCAAGGACAACTCTATCTATGTTGTGGCAAATATTGGGGACGAGAAACTTTGCAATGCCAGTGACCCTCAGTGTCCCCCTGATGGCAGTTACCAATACAATACTGATGTGATGTTTGATTCTGAGGGTAGTCTGGTAGCCCACTACCATTAAGTGAGAATTACTTTTGCCTTAGATAAACCTGACTGACTTTCTTTCTTGTCAGTCAAGATATGCATGCATGTTTGTTTGTTGAATGTTGGCAAGATAACGGTTATGGATGCATCTTATAATCATTACTCATTTTAGCTGGAAAGGGGATTTAATTTATTTCAATCCAAAAGAAGGATTCCACGTTTGATTTAGCCATAAAATAGAATATGGCAGAATACGAAAGCACATGTGATAATAGCCTCACAAATATTTTAATATTCTCTGAGAAAGGAGAAATAGCCTTTTCATCCATGATTTAGTGTCAGAGTTAGTATTTTGGGGGCCCATTTTGTTAATATTTTATACTAAGCTCCCATCTATTTCATTAGGACTTATTTGATTGCAAAGAAATTGGCTTTTAAAAAAGAGGAGAATTTCTCTGCTTAGGTACCTGTGCTAACTAATTTTGTCACTGTGACAAAATACCCGAGAAAATCAACTTAAGGGATAAAAGATGTATTTTGGCTCATAGTTTCTGAGTTTCAGTTTGTGGTCACTTGGCTCCCTTGCTTTGTGCCTTTGGAGAGGCAAAATATCTTGAAGAAGAGCACATGGTGAAGCAGAGCTGCTCACCTCATGAGGGCAAGTAAACAAAGAGAAAGAGAGACCAGTGGGGATGTTGCTCAGTGGTGGGGTGCTTACCCAGCATGTGCAAAGTCCTGGGTTCAACCCCCAGGACTACAGAAAAGAGAGAGAGAGGGGGAGCAAGGAAGGGGCTAGAGACAAGAGATACTCTTTCAGAGAACACCTTGATATCCTACTTCTTCCAACTAGTCCTCACCTCCCACATTTTCCACCCCCTCCCAATGGTCCATTCAGCTATGAACCCACTGATTCAGTCAGAGCCCTCATGATAAAATCACTTTCCCCAAGCCCCACATCTGGACATAGCTGCTTTGGAAACCAAGCCTTCAACACGTGAACCTTTGGAGAACATTCCAGGTCCAAACCAAAACAGTACCTGAACAAATAGTGTCATGATGAGGGTAGATCTTCTTTCAGGTGCAGTCTGCCATTCAATGAGTCAAACCATATCATCTGTCCCTCTAGCCCTTTTTGCTATTGTTAACATCTGTTGTCAGGGTGACTTTCCTTTTAGAAGCCACAGACTACAGCAACACCAAGTTCATACCTATTATTATTATTAATTATGACAAGTACACATAACACAAAATGGATCATCTTAGCTATTTTAGGTGGTATCAGTATTCATGTTGCTGCACAACCATCACTTTCATCATCTTTGTCGAGAATTATTTTCATCTTGCACATCTGAAACTTTATGCCCATTAAGCAATAACTCCTATTGCCCTACTACCCAGCCCCTGGCAACCACCATTCCACTTTTTGTCTCTATTTCAAATTCATTCAAGCAAGAGGGCTTGAAGACTGGCTGGCCTGGGCCCACTAGGGATTATGCTCAGTTCCTTGAACTTTTCTTCCTAGAAAACCGCATTTATTATCTCCAGATTGAAAACTCCTATTGATCTTCCCCACTTAAGCCTGTGACTTTTTTGGAGCACAGAGTTCACATCCTTGTGAATAAAATCCAAGGGGAGAATATCCATAGTCTCGTCATTCCTTGATTTCAATTAGGTCCCATCCTTTCCTGAGCTGTTCACCTAAGGAGGAAGAATGCACTACCACCTGGGGGTGAATGAAGGAACTAGACATGTCCAGTAGGAGTGGAGAAATAGCTCATGACAGAGCTCACCTACGCATATATCAGGCAAATAAAATCCCAAACCAAGCATATGCTGAACTCCTGAGCTGAGGTTAAGTGGACTTTAGGACCAATAATCAGGTGGAAAAATAATTACTAATGGCTTACTAATTAACAAGATTTAGTTATTGCATTGTCTAAATTAATTTTAAATCTATCTCACTTGTTAGCAGTATCACCGGGAGACATGACAAAGTTTATTTTATTAACATGCATTAGACTTCACATATGGAGTGGTGTTGATATTTAAAGAATAGAAAATAACCTGAAAATGATAAGAGTAAAGATTTCATCCTGTGATTTTTAGGACAGAAATATTCACGTCTTAAATATCACTTGTAGATATGATTTCATTCATTGGTCAGACAAAAGTGAAGTTTTTTGATTAATGTCACAGTGAAAAATCCTCATTGGTATAATGGTGGGCATGAGTCATGTAAATCCATGTGTAACAGTTTTAAACGAGCAATTCAACATACATAGGAGGAAAGATTTTTTTTTAAATGGGTGTTGACCACATCTGTTGTCAGTTTGCTTTATACTTACTTTCCCCTTCTCTGCTTTTTGATAACAGTACAATCTTCTTGCCCCCGAAATTCAATTTGACTTCCCTAAGGATGCAGAATTTGTGACTTTTGACACTCCCTTTGGGAAGTTTGGCACTTTGACTTGTTTTGACATTTTTTTTTTCTTACAACCAAGCTATGGTGGTGGTGAAGGAGTTTCAAGTCGACAGTGTTCTGTATCCCAGGACCTGGTACAACACACTGCCCCTCCTCTCTGCTGTCCTGTTCCATCCTGCAAGGGCTAGAGCCATGGGAGTCAACCCGCTTCTTGCTGTGAATACCCACACACCAGCATGCACATGACAGGTCACTCATGCCAGTCATGCACATAGCGGCAGTGACACTCTTGGCAACTCTTTACTGATTTTCAAGCCACACTTTCCCCTCCCTTCCCCTTCCCTTCCCTTCCCCTCCCTTCTATCTCCTCCCCTGTCCTCCCCTCCCCTCTCCTCCCCTTCTCTTCCCTTTCCTAACAGTATTTATCATCCCCCAGTCAAACCCTGAGCCAACCACTTTCCCCAGACTGTATGGAGAGAGTTAGGAAAAGGAAGATACAGGGCAGAGGAGTCATGAGAGACAGGAGCACCTACTGGTAGGGGAAGTAGTGCCTTCACTTGGCAAAGAGGATGAGAAAGAGCAGCATCAGGCAAAAGAGCCCATGGCCTCCTAGGGTCAAACTCCAGAGTAGTGTAGAAGAGCTGTTTGTTCAGAGAAGGATCCTAGCATAACTAGTGGTGAGGCTCCAAAGCACAATCTTAATCTCAGCTCCAGAGCAGCCACCCCAAATGCGGCAGCCCCAGCCCCAATGAGCTTGGCTGTTACATTGACATCCCTTGAAATGGCAATGATTTGGAAGCTAGTGACAAGTGAGATCAGGGGACTCTGGAATGCCAAGCTGCTGAGGCTCTCATCTGGCATTGGTCCCAATCAAAGAGTGAGAGGAGATGGACTTGGAGCAGGCATACATTTTCAGGGGCAAGGAATGGCAACAGGAGAGCTACCCACTACACAGAGAAGACAGAGAGGCAAAGGGCAGGGACTGTAAGAAAGAAGCCACAATTTTCTTCAGTGATTGATGCATGTATTAATTCTGTCATCACAAAATTAATAACAATACTGGCTTCTACTTAAGAACGTAATTCTTGTAAATAAAAGAAGCAAACATTATCTCAATCTTATATGAGGGGAAGAGAGAAGTCAAAATAAGTAAAAAGTCAGAGCCAGTCTAAGAAATATCCCAGCCGCGGCTGGGGTTGTGGCTCTGAGGTAGAGCACTCGCTTAGTACGTGTGAGGCCCTGGGTTCGATCCTCAGCACCACGTGAAAATAAATAAATAAAATAAAGGTATTGTGTCCATCCACAGCTAAAAAATAAATATATTTTTCAAAAAGAAATATCCCAGCCAACATCTATTGTTATCATGAAATAAATCTTATTCGGATGATAAAATCATTTTCAACTTCTCAGGTTTTTAGAGTTTATCCTTTAAAGTATCCAAGTTCAAGATAATGCATGTTCCCCTCTTATCCTCCTGACTACTTGTTTGTTGATGAAAATAAGGAATCACAGACAAAAATAAATTGACTAGATAAGTGGAGAGCTGAAATTATCTTTCATATTTGGGAGAATGTTCTCGTTTTTTTGTTGGATTTGCTTGGAAAAGGGAAGAATAAGAAAAACAAATGAGAATTTCACAGCTCAATATAACAGCCATCTCCCTAACTGTTTTGAAAATGCTTATGACTTAATAATTTTAATTTCACAAGGGATTAGTCTAGTAGCATGTCACCCGAAAAAATTTGAGGTGGTAGAGCATTTGGCTGACCCTGCCTGGGTTCCATCTCCAGCAACACACACACACACACACACACACACACATACACATAAATAAATAAATAAATAAATACAATTGAAATTAATATTTGCATTTGTTGTTGTTGTTGTTGTTGTTGGCCATAGGGAGTAGGATCTATGCCCCAGAAGCACTCAGTGTGTATCATTATGACATGGAAACAGAGAGTGGCCAATTGATGCTATCAGAACAGAAGTCTTGGCCTCTCAGCAAACACACCTACCCTGCAGCCCTTGACTGGAGTGCTTATGCCAAAAGTGTCAAGTTCTTCCCTTCTGAGCAGCAGGATTTTCTGGGGATGGTTTATTTTGATGAGTTCACCTTCACTGAAGTTAAGGAAATTACACAGTTTGCCAGAAGGACCTGTTTGTCATTTATCTTACAAGATGTCTGAGAAGCGAGTAGATGAGGTCTATGCTCTGGGAGCTTTTGATGGACTGCACACAGTAGAAGGCCAATATTATTATAGGTATTATAATATTATAGGTAAACATGCATAAGTGTTTTTGTTGCATTACTAATAATTATTAGTTTTTCTTCCAGGTCATCATTACTTTTCTTTAAAAATTATGCTAGAGTCAGTCAAAATTGGTAAAATGTTACATTAATCTTTTTTTTTTTCACCCAGAACACTTAATATGTTTCATCATAGCAAGAATGAGTTAATTTTCTTGGCAAGGTAAAAAAATAAAGTAGATTGATTAGTTCTTAGCAGGTCAAGTTTAAGTTTAAAAAGATGAAACTTCTGTGCATTCTTTTTCCACCAGGTCAAATAGTGTTTTTCAGATCATCTTCAACTGAGGTCTCCTGTTTTCAATTGTGACCCAGTTTAGCCACATGGCCATATCTCTAAAAGAGATATTTAATTAAACAGTTTATGAAATAATCAAATTAGAACTTGAAATAGCTATGATTATGTGAAATACACTCTGATTTAAAAAATTTGTTTCTATTCCATTTGTCTTCTCTAAAAACATAAAATCTGGATTCACTAAATTGGCATTAGAATTCACAAATAAGTTCTGATTGAAATTAAACAACATTGCTTACAAGGCAACTAAAACATTCCTCTACTCTGAAATAGAATAATTCAGCTGAGAGAATATTTTCAAATTTTTATGACTACTTTTATTTTCTGTATAGATATACACATTACTGAAATGCCAAACCACAGCCCTGAGAACTTGCCGGGAGCCCGTGGGTTCAGCTTTTACCAAGTTTGAGGAGTTCTCTCTCAGCATCACATTTGCAACAAGCTGTTTTCCCACAGATTGTCCTAAGTAGGAGTCAGCTTGTCCCTGAAAGACATTACAAGGTAGGAGGTTTTCAAGACGATGACTTTCTTTGTGCAGATGTGGTAGAACAGCAAAATGATAATCTTTAAAGTAAAGGTACAATATGGAAGCATTATCATTCACATTCTATGAGACACACGTTAAAGACATATGGAAGCCATGGGAGGAATGAAAGTTGTGGTTCTAGATTATCTTTGTGCTGTGATAGAGGAGTTGGGATTCTTTTTTTTTTTTTCAGAAGTGTGATGTTGAAATGCAAGGCAACAGTGAAGTCACAGAGAAATCAAAATTGATGCATTGATTGCTGATAATGACAACTAATGTCCTGTACCTTTGCATGGTATAGAATGTTCAAGTTAAAAATGGTACATCTATGATTTATTTCTTGAGTGTTTTAGTTTGAGAATTTGTTGTAGTGATAGTAAGAGTTAATACTTTGTATAGTGTTTCATGAGCTTAGAGAGCACTTTTTTAAAAAAAATGCATTATCTTATTTGATCACCTGTGAAACGGATTTATTTGCCACACTTTCACCCAAAGTTCCTCTAGTATTGGATCCAAAACAAGAGGCTGAATCTTTGGATACCAAATCTTGCCTGCTTTTTATAACCTTGTGTTGCATTAGGAGGAATGTTGTGAAACAAAGCCCCTGGGCTGGAAACCAAGCTCTGCATTGGAATTAATCCTTTGCTTTCTTTGATTAGGTTTCAAGAGATGGACATCTAAGGAGCCAAACTGGAGTCTCTTTGTCTGTCTTAGTTATGGCTCTCTATGGAGGAGCGTTTGAAAAGACCCTTCTTAGCGCTCATGACAGGGACCTGGGAATTTGTAATGATCCCCTTCACCAGGATCTTGCAGGATTAGTCTGAAAAAGAGACAGGAGAGAGAGAGAGAGAGAGAGAGAGAGAGAGAGAGAGAGAGAGAGAGAGAGAGAGAGAGAGCCCTTGGTGTCCAGTCAGGATACATGCCATAAACTTATTGGAACAGCAAATAAACTAAAGAAGATTTAAAAAAGCAATGGGTATGCAATGATTTGATATGGCTTGCCCTTCCAAAACTTATGTTGAAATTTAATTGCCACTGTGAAGTACCGAGAAGGTGGAAAATCAGGCCTTTGAGAGGTAATAAGAATTAGATATGACCATGAGAGCAGAGCCTCCATGATAAACTCTTGGTGGCTTAATGAGAAGAGGAGACCAGAACACATAGGTACACATGTTCTCTGTCTCAATCCATGAGCCCTGCACCTCCTCAGTAAGAAGTCCATCACCAGATGTAGGTCCTTGGCTTTGCACCATGAGCCCAAATAAACTTCTCTTCTTTAAAATTTATCCAGGCTTTGGTGATCTTATTAGCAATAGAAAAAGACTATGACAGTGTGTGTGCTATTTGATGCAGCAAAAACTCATTCCATGTATGTGTTCCTGTAAGTCTGTGCATGAGTTGAACATATATTCAAGTGGGAGGAGGGCCTAGAAAAATTCTTTTGTAGCAACCACTCTATGTAGGCAAATATTGCCTCCATCCAATGATGGTTAATTTTATGTGTTAACTTTACTGGACATAGCTGGCTAGACATTATTTCTGTTGTATACGCCAGGGTGTCTTGAAAATAGATTAGCATTAGAATTGGTGGACTGAGTTAATCAGATGACCCTACCCAATGTGAGTGGGCATCAATGAATCCCTTGAAGGCCTGAGTAGAACAGAAAGGCAGATGAAGGTTTTGTTGATTTTCTGCCCAAATGCTTCAGTTAGAATGTAGATCTTCTGGCTTCTGTTGCTCAGGCCTTCAAATTGCATCGGAATGGCATCATCTATTCTCCATCTCTCAGGCCTTCAAACTATTGCCCCAGCCTTCTTGGATCCCCAGCTTGCAGATAGATGTCAGCTCATGAGATGTTTCAGTCTCTATAATTGTGAAAAACAGTATCATATATGTCCTAATTATCCTAATTATCATGATCAATATAATAAATAATATAAGACATAGAATATCTGTCCTATCACTTATTGACATACATAAAATATAGGCTATCATTTTATCCTATCATTATATATCTCCTATCATCTTCATTGCTCCTAAGAATCCCAATTAACACATGTCACTTGTCGCTACACAGGGTGAACTTTGAATATCAAATAAAAAATCAGGGCATCTCATCAAGTAATCATGAACAATTTTGTAGCTAATTAGAATTGTTCCACTATCTTTTTTATCATAGTTTACTTGATTCTTATGGTCTATTTGCAAGAAAATTAGACACTTGGAATGCAAATAAAAATAAATTATCTCCTTCAGACTACATCTTGACTTTTTTCTACCTAGGATCTACCCAAATCTGATTAAGCCCTCTTGAAGTACTCAGAGATTTGTTGCAGCATGTGCGAGGCCAGGAGCTTTCTTAGAAAGGGCCACCCTGTCATCTCTTCCCCTAATAACTTTTGGCACATTTCCCCGAGTTCTTTGAGTCCTGTACCTGGCTGGTCATTGATTACCTCTGGGAAGAGACTCACATGAGAGCCCATGGATTCTCTGGAATCCTTGGGGTTGGTTGAGGATCACTGAGTTAAGAGATATCTTTTACCCCTACAAAATGTATGATAATTGCATTTCTAGACTTCTTCTAGGTATTTATTCCCACCCAATATAATTTAATCCAGTACCAGGAAACCAGAGATGCTCTAAGCAGCAGAAAATGTTTTTGGTATCCCCATTTCCATCTTTCTTAGATTCTTGTTATAGGAACCATGACCCTTAGATCCTAGATGACACCGCATTGTGGCTGGATTTCTTCTATCCATGTGGGATATGGGTACCTTCCCTCTTTATGGCCTTATACTGCTTCCTTCTTAGGCTTGTTTCTCATAAACCACCATTGGAAGGTGGTTATGCATAATGGCCCCAGCTTCTTCACCACCCTTTATTTCATGCAGTCTTATCTAAGCAGACTTCTGCACTCTTTTTATCAAAGAAAGTTTCAAAAATCAGATCTCATGGTTGTTTCTCAGCCCTTACTTTCCATGAGAGAACAACTGAACTACTCCTCCTAAAGATCGTTTACCCCATATCTTTTAATACCCACTCATGTTTTTTATTTTCTTTCACCTTTGGCTTTCCTCCCTTCCTCTCCTCACTTCCCATTTAATTTACCGTGACTTGTAAGTCATACTAAACTCAACGTTCACAGACATGACTCCCTTCCTTTTCTCTCTTTCTTTGGAGAGTAAAGCCACTCATGGCTTCATCTAGTATTTCTGATACTGAAGAATATAACTCCTTGGTTAGCAAAACAAACAAGCAACCAAACAAATTCCTGAGAGCCAGTTTAGGGTGTTAAATAGAAATTACAAGAAACCATTGTTTTGGACTAAATTCCTGCCCTGGACCCCAATAGAACAGACAAAAAAAAAAAATCAAAATGGAATCACTTATTACTAAAATTCATTGTCACCAAATGGAATTATACTGTTTACCTGACCCTCTGAAAAATCAGAATCAGAGCGATAACAACCAAATTTCCCAAACAGACCAGTTTCAGTTGGTAGTATAATAAAGATCTCTCTGCTTTAATCTTTACACAAAAGAAGTGACCTGAAATAACTGGATCTTAACCAGTTAGTTGTTTTTCCATTGTTCTGTCTCACTTTACAAGGAAAGTAAAGTGAAATGACAGGCCCATTTTTTGTCCTTTTGTTTCTTTCTTCAGCCTTCTGTGTCTATAAATCCAGCTTATTTTGCTCAGGTCACAGGAACACTTATTCTATTTTATGGAATAAAATTTTGCCCAAGTCTGGAATTTAAAGTAAAGGCAATCAAGATCTTTAAGCTAAATTGTTGTAATTTCGTCCTGTGACAAGGCCACCAATAATGTTAAGGAGCTTCATTCAAAAATGCAAAAATAGTTTTATTAAGTCCTATGTCAAGAATATATATTCTGACCACATAAACAACTTATCAGGCAAATTAAGGTCAATCCGGAAATTGACGTGGAGTTCCAATGACTAATTATCTACAAATAAATACATAATTATATATTTTATAAATTGTTTGTATAATATATACTTATATATTTTATATATATTTTAGCATCAACACAGAGGCAGACTTCTAATCTTTCACCACATATACAGGTGGGCCAGTGTGTACATGGCTTTTCAGATGTCACCAGGCAAAGTGCAAGAGGCAGTGTTAATCCCCCTCAGTCTTTGTTCTCAGCTCCTTCTCTTGGTTCTGGTTCTCCCTGCTTGAGCTGGCAGGACTTGCTTCTGAGTTCCTTCTGGGACCTGCTGCTCTGTCAGCAAAGTTCAGGCAGAGTGGGTCTTCCCTCTGTCTAGGCAGTGAGCTGTCCATTTTCCGTTCAAGAGGTAGTTGATTTCATTGGCTCTTGGTGCTTCCTGTTTCCAGGTCCTGTGAGGGACATGGTGTTGCAAGAAGTGCAGTGTTTCATCTGGAGTCTCATATACGACAGGTAAGTCAGAAACGGATTGATAGCATGGTAATCCTCAGGGGCAGGGGAAGTGTCCTATGGTACTATGATTCGTCTCATTCTTCTAGTGAGCCTGTACCCAGCCAGGGCTGTAACCTTACTTCACAATTGCATCTAAGCTTTTTTCTTCTATTCTTAGGAGGATCGGGAACCAGGTAGAGGCAGCTGGGGCTGAGATTTTATCCTCCCTTGTGGAAGGGAAAAAGGAGATAGATTTGAAGTGTCCCTTCCCCCAGGTAGATTAGGCCCTGGTAATATGCTTTCCTTTAAGGGCAGGCTTTTGCTAAGGAGAAGAGAAGGGAGTGTTCTGGATATATTTCACAACCATCTTATTTTCCCTTTCCTCGCAGGAAGCACAGTGGGATTTTTATCCTAATATTTATCCATTTTCCCTGAGAACCTGGTAGGGTTTCTAGAGGTAAAACTCACACACAAAAAGAGAGAGAGAAAGAGAGAGAGAGAGAGATTCCATAACCCCATTCAAGAGTTTTAACTGTCAATATTGTCCAATATTGCTGAGTTTCTAGCAATTCATCCACTGCAGGTCAGAGCACTTGCTCCACATCAGACTCTCGTCCTTTAATTTTTTGTCTTCTGTATTTGCCTGTCTCTCCAATTATAAGGGCGACAATTTGTCCTATGACCTCAATTCTCTGATGCTTCTAAGAAAAGTTTGTTGATTTTCTAGTAGTTTGGCTTTTTTCTTGTGGTGAGGATGAGAGAGATGATGCTAAGTTTTTTACATATTGGATTGGAAACTCATTGGGAGGTCTTCATTTAATATTTTTAATCGAAGAAGTTCAAAGTAGTATTTTTTTAACCTCTTATTGACTCATACAAAGATTCCTTTTATCCATTGTTATGTAACCATTACATCTCCTTCCAAAGTATCTAGCCTTCCTTGCTCACCTGGATGGGTGGCAGGTCCAAAGGAGGCCAACAAGCAGAGGGAGCTGGTGTTTATTGTGTGACTCAGGAGGCCTGGAACTCAAGTGCTCACGCAAAGAAAGTAATGTTGAAGTCCAGTGCCTCTGAATGTGATCTTATTTGGAAACAGTGTTGGGAGCCAATTTATTAAGATGGAGTCATTCTGGAATCAGGTAGACATTAAATTGAATGACTGATGCCAATATGAAAAAGGGGAAATTTACAGGGACAACACCATCTGAAGAGACACAGGGAAAAGATAGCCAGGGACAGGAGTCCGGAACACATCTTTCCCTCAGAACCTGAATAGGAACCAACCCTGCTGACACCTTCTCTGAACTTCTCACCTCAAGAATGATGAGACAAAACATTTTTATTATCTATACCACCCAAATTGTGATATATTGTAGTCCTGGCAAACTAATATGAATACATTTCCTTATTTGCTCTTCCCTAATCATCCTTGCAAAAAGGATGAAAAGATCTTTTGTTGCCTAAGGATAATATGAAGGCACAAAGTTTTCTTAAAATTAGTCTTTGCACTTAGTTTTTAAAGTACTAAGTTCCGGGAACCATGTGACCACTTGTGTTTTCGTCTATAAATAGTAAGACACACTTCTGTTTTGCAGTACTCTTTGGACTTCAGCATGACTACTACTCAGTTTCTGGCTTATGCGGCAATTTCGGTTTTCTGTGTCTTAGAAGTCAACTCCTTGGATACTTTTATCGCAGCTGTTTATGAACATGCAGTGAGACTGCCTGATGACCCCCTAACCTTAGTGTCTCCTGAAGAAGCATTGGCATTCATGAACAGGAATATTGATGTTTTGGAAGGAGCGATCACGTTAGCTGCAAATCAGGTACCATCTCTGCCATCTCTCCAGTGTGCTAGATTCTATGAGAAAGATAGGGTCCCAGGGGAGAGACGTTGTCAGGGTCAGTTACAATTTTGGGTGATGTATGTATCAGAATAGCCAAGATCCTTTGTTTTACCGTTAGAATCTCACTTTACTCTCAAAATCAACAGAGTAAGGACACTCTTACACTCCCAACAAAGAGAGGAAAGCTAAGAAAGGAATGGTTTGGTCATCATTAAGAAATATCAGACCTTTGAGGAACTTGCTATAAATTCAACATATTCCTTTTTTCTGCTACAGATGGGGGTGGAGGATAGATGGGTACTATCCTCAGAGTATTAGAACAGGTACTATCCTCAGAGTATTCATAGCCTCAGTGTCCTCTTGTGTCCTTAAGAGTTTGCAGGTTTTCAGGTAAGTTTATAATCTGAAAACATGATTCAAGTTAACAAATGACTTGCAAGTGTGTATTATATACTACATGCTTCATTCTAATTATAGGATAAAAGTATATGTATTATTGAACAGTAAGTCCTGGAGTTAAATGAAGATGTAAGTTTGAAGCAAAGCCCGTGCAGTTTAAATGTGTGGTTTGGACAAATAAGATTTAAATAAGATATTCATAGGTCAGGTATATATCAGAAATAAGAGAGGAAGTTTATAGGCAAATACATATTATACAATCTGTTGATGTATATATATTTTTTAAAATATATTTTTAGTTGTTGATAGACCTTTATTTATTTATATGTGGTGCTAAGAATCGAACCCAGTGTCTCACATGTGCCAGGCAAATGTGCTACTGCAGAGCCCCAGTATATTCTTATGTATATTATAACATGAGGTTATCAGGAGATCTGATGCTGTTTCTCAATTATTCCAATTATTTCTTTTAAGATCACAGCGACCTTCAAGGTGACCCTCCGATCCAAAAGTGCTCATGTTAGCGCAGGCAGTACTTCTAACCTTAGCACAATTCAGGTAACTGTTGTGTGACTCTCCTCCTTCATTGGAGCAGGAATCTGGTTTTCAGGGTGCCATGCAGGGGAAAGCTAGAGCAGAAGATAAAGTAAACAAAGAATTTGAGTTATAAATCAATCCTGGCACAGTAGTCACGATAATTGTCCAAAGTTCAGGGAGGAATTGATTTCAGGAGAGCTAGTTATATAATTCATGACTGCAGATAATGGTCTGGAAAATTATTAACATCTTTGAGAGAATGAAAAAGTTAGCTAGAACAGCAATGGCAGGATTAGAAGATTAAAGAATTTGGGAAAAGAAAACAAATTAGATCAATGTAGAAAACAAACAAATAAGATTGAAAGGGGAAGAAAAGACCCAAATGGATGTTAACCATTCAGTTTCTCTTGCATCTCTACCCCTTACAATTTTTCCCTATTTGAGAAATGTTTTAATTAACTATATATATTGTTTTAAACAGGGAGCACACATAATTGTGACTCCAGAAGATGGTATTTATGGTTACAATTTCAGCAGGGAATCTATCTACCCATACTTGGAGGATATCCCAGACCCTCAAGTGAACTGGATTCCCTGTAATAATCCTAACAGGTAAAGAAAGAGAATGTGAAAAAGTCAATCATGAACATCAACTTCTTTTGCCTGGGCAAACTTTGCATAGACGTGTTGTGAACTCTATGCTTCAAAATACTTTATTTTTCATTATTATGGATGTATTGATCAGAAATGTGAATTGTGAAATCACAGAAATTAGTGTTAGAAAAAGGCTTAGAAATCATCACATTTCAGCCAGATTTGGTGGCACACAATGCAATATCAGTGACTTGGGAGGCTGAGGAAGGAGGTATTTAGGGGGTGAAACAAGATCCAAATCTTAGTCTCTAAATTCTTGCCTGTGAAAAGAAAAATATTTTCCTGTGCACATTTGTAATTTGAAACTGTATGAGCAGATCACAAAAGAGAGGCATGTGTCCATTTAGAATGAATGATTTTCCTATTTCATTGGTCAAATAGTTGATGAGGCTAAGGTATTAAAACCCTTAAAGCTTAGGCTGATTTTTTAAATTGATTTTTAATGAATAAATAAATAAATAAATAATAAATAAATAACAGCAGAATGCATTACAATTCTTATTACACATATATAGCACAATTTTTCATATCTCTGGTTGTATATAAAGTATGTTGACAACCCAATTTTTGTCTTCATACATGTACTTTGGATAATGATGTCCATCACATTCCACCATCCTTGCTAATCCCTTGCCCCCTTCCTTTCCCTCCCACCCCTCTGTCCTATCTAGAATTCATCTATTCCTTCCATGCTCCCCCTCCCTACCCCACTATGAGTCAGCCTTCTTATATCACAGAAAACATCTGGCATTTGTTTTTATGGGACTGGCTAACTTCACTTAACATTATCTTCTCCAACGCCCTCCATTTACCTGCAAATGCCACGATTTTATTCTTTTTTATTGCCGAGTAAAATTCCATTGTGTATATATGCCACATTTTAGTTATACATGACAATAGAATATATTTTGACAAATTACACATACATGGAGTACAACTTCCCATTTTTCTGGTTGTATAGGCTGATTTTAACCTAGGAGGTGATCTAGCAGAATTGTGCATATTGCTTAAATCTGGAATAGACTAAAGAAACATTAAAATAGTACTTTTAATATTAAAAATATGTAGAAAGCCAATATTTTACATACCTGGGAGAATCACGTTAGTGAAAACACTTCTTTCCGAATGCACCATGGCTAACATTGTTTTAGGAATTCCTCTTTTGAATCAGCTCTCAAAACCACAAAAACCAAATACTATAGCTACTGATAAAGTCACCTTGATTTTGACAAAGTTCAGTACTACTTATCTTAATCAATCACTTTATTCTCATTCCATTATATCATAATTATTTCTTATATAACCATGTCCCATGCCAGACCTTCAGTATCTTAAAGACCAGAATTCTATTATTACTTTCATTATGAATTGAATTGATTTTGCTTCTGAATGGCATTTCCCTTCTCTATGAGTTTGACTACTCTAGGAATTTTACATAATGGAATCATATAGTATTTGTCTTTTTGTGATTGGCTGATTTTACTTAATGTTCTTAATCATCCTTGTTGAATTTCTTTTTTTTTTAAAGGCTGAATGATGTCCGCATGCATGTGTGTGTGTGTGTGTGTGTGCGCGTACGCCACATTTTGCTTATTTATTCATCCATAGACCCTTTCTTGTTTTACTCTATGAACATGGGTATATGAACATCTCTTTGATAGCTTTCTATTTTAACACTTTTGGGTTTATATCCCAAAATGAAATTGGAATAGTTTTTTTAAAATTTTTTTGAGAAACTAATAAACTGCTTTCTATAATGGCAGGTACTCCACCACCAGTATGCAGGGTTCCAATTTTTCCACATTCTCACAAACTCTTGTTATTATTATTAAGTATTATTTACTGGTAGTAGCCATCCTGATGGGGTGTAAAGTTGGTATGTCATTATGGTTTAGATTTGCATTTCATTAATGATTAGTCATGCTGAGCATCTTTTCATGTGTTTATTGTTCATTTGTGCATTTTCTTTGAAGAAATATCTATTCAACCCTTTTGCTCATTTTTGAATCATTGTTGTTACTGTTGCCTTTTAGGAGAGCTATATGTATTCTGGATATTAATATTATTACATATTTTTCTTTGTACCTTGTAACTTTTTTTGACTTAAAGTCTATTTTGTCTGATAATAAGAATGGTGCTCCTTGATTTTTGATGGGACTATGTCATGATTAAATAAAATGTTATGTGAAAAATGCTTTTAGTGGGCCAGATTTACTGAACATTGTATATTAGTCTAGACTACATAAATGTGCTCAAAACATTTGCATTAACCTATGGTTGGGCAAAATCATCTAATATAAAGCCTATTTTGTAATATAGTGTTGAATATCCCGTGTAATTTACTAAATACTGTACTGACAACAAAAAACAGAATGGTTGTGTGAGTATACATTTGCACCATTGTAAATTGAAAAATTGTACAACTACACATTATCGATAATGGATCATCTGTATAGTCATCCTCATAACCATTTGCATAAAATATCTTTTTCCATCCTTTCACTTTCAACCTATTTATTTCTTTGGAGTTAAAGGAACTTTGGGGACAGCATGGAGTTGAATTATATTTTTTTGGAGTTTCATTCTGTCAATCTCTGATATTTTATTGGAGAGTTTAATGCATTTACATATAATGTGATTAAAGACAAGGAGGGACTTACCTCGGTCAATTTGGTGTTTTCTGTGTCATTTTGTTTTCAATATCCCTTATAGCTTTTTGTTTCTCATTTCCTGCATTACTGTTTTATTTTGTATTCAGTTGATTTTTATGAGACATTTAAATTCCCTTCTCATTTTCTTTTGTGTCTATCTATACCTGTTTTCGTTGTAGTTGCCATAGGGATTATATTTAGCATCATAAGGTTATAATACTCTAATTTGAAATTAACTTCAATAACATAAAAATTGCTCTTATACATCTCTGTCTCTGCCTATTTCAGTTATTAACTTCACATATTTTTGTCATCATACATTGTGTTCCCCAAAACATACTCATAATTTTTAATTTTAACACATTTCTACCACTGAGCTACATTCTCTGGCCTTGATGTTGTAATCCACCTGCCTCAGTCTCCTGAGCAGCTGGGATTATAGGTGTGCACCACCATGCCAGCAACACAATTGTTTTAAAGTCTTTTTCTAGTAGGTCTGACTCTGATCTTTTTCAGGTGTAATTTCTCTTGGTTTGTTTTTGGTATTGTTATTTTCTTCTTCTTCATTATTTCAGACCTTTGTTGAGGATCAGCTTGAAGTATAAATATAAGATCATCTCAGGTCTCTTCTATACCTGTGCCTTTTCCTGAGTTTGGGTGGCAACTTTCTAAATTCCTATATATGTTGGTCTGATTCTGTATGTCTTAGTTATTAACTGTATGGCTCCTAAAAAAGGGAAAAATGAAAGGATATTTGAGAAGGCCCTTTGAACACCTTGGCAGTCACTTTGGTCCTAGAGGAAGCAGTTATATCCATGAGTTGAATGCATGTGTATGTGTGCAACAATGCTGCTTGCCTCTGTGTCTGTAACTCCATACTCTGAAGCAACCAGTACTGATCAGAAAACATATCCCTGATATCTAGAGGACTGAGTTTTAATGCTCACCCTGATCCTGCAAACTGCCTGCAAACTTCTCCAGGAACACACATGCAGCATCCTAACACAGGGCTTGGGGTGGGATGGGAAACCACTGCTGAGCTTAGAGGGGAAATTGACTAAAATTAAGCACCATTTACCTTCCAAACTTCCACTGGAAGTTGCAGTCTTTGAATGGAATTCAGAGTTTCAAACTACTGTATCAGATGGTTTCTACCAGTGTAGTTGGGTAGTTAGATCCCTGGTGCTTTCTACTTTCTACTCCACCATCTTTCCAGGATCCTCCTTGTTACAAGTTTTGGTTCACTCATTCAAAATATTTTGTAATGCTTCTTTGCTGCTGTCAGGCATGGGTTAAATATTCAGGGTATGCAGGTCTTTGCCTCAATTATCTATAGGATACTACAGACATTGAGAGATGAACACATAAATGGACATGTGATTATAGGTTATAATCCATGCTGTGAAAAAAAAAATACATGGCTTGGAGTTTTACACTGGAGTAGTTTTCTACAGCCAAATTTTCTCTAAACCTTTTTCTCGTCTAAATATGTCTCTTCTACCTATTGATATTAAGAACATTTTTGTATATATCAAATGATAGGTTCAGACAACTATCATTCTGAATTTTTTTTCAAAGCAAAATTAAGTTGAAAATATCATAAAAAACTAAACTTGATTAATTTTTTTTTCTTTCAATGAACATATACCAGATTTGGCTACAACCCAGTACAAGAAAGACTCAGCTGCCTGGCCAAGAATAACTCTATCTATGTGGTGGCAAATATAGGGGACAAGAAGTCATGCAAAGCCAGTGAGCCTCAGTGTCCTCCTGATGGCCGTTACCAATACAATACTAACGTGGTGTTTGATTCTCAGGGAAAACTAGTGGCCCGCTACCATAAGGTAAATTTAATTTGCAAATAATTGAGTTATTGAATGCTTAATGAATTACAGTGAACAAGACAAAAACCCTCTTGGTATTGATAATAAGTGTACATGGAAAGTAATGATTAGGTTTGGTAAGTTCTTGTAATTTGCTGTACATTTGGGAGCACATGAGTTTGTTGTAGGTGTATGTGAGAGTCAGCAGGAGTTACCTACATTGAAATATAAGGTTAATTTTTAGGCTTTGTTCTTTTAAAAATCTGCCCTCTTGATAAGTCAAAGAATGAAAAACTCCTTATCAGATAAACTCAGTCTTGACAATGGACAAAATAAAGCTCTTGGCTCACAGGCAATAGTTAAGTGTTCTTGGCAAACAGAGATGATCTATTTTACTTCTTTACTTTGTGAAATTCAAGATGGTCTTTGCAGATGAGAATACACATACAAATGGCTGTAATGGGAAGATGGAGCCAAAGGCTCTATTTAAGTGGAGGGGCCTCAGGTTCTCCAAAGCACTGCTCTTCCCATGAAGGCAGCCATGATAGGTGAAACTGGCAATGTTAAATTGATGTGAGCTTGCATTTTTTCAGGTACACTGATGTCCATGCCCACATCTTAAAAAATTTAATTTCCCTTCATCTTCTGTTTTTCTCAGCAAAACCTTTTCATGGGGGAAGACCAATTCAATGCACCTAAAGAGCCTGAGATGGTGACATTTAACACAACCTTTGGGAAGTTTGGCATTTTCACTTGCTTTGATATTCTCTTCCATGATCCTGCTGTTGCCCTGGTGAAAGACCTCCACGTGGACACCGTACTCTTCCCAACAGCTTGGATGAATGTCCTGCCACATTTGTCAGCGGTTGAGTTCCACTCAGCTTGGGCTATGGGCATGGGAGTCAATTTCCTTGCATCTAATTTACATAACCCCTCAAATAGAATGACAGGTAACATGTGGTCTTTAAGATATATAGACTTTGAATTCTACCAATAAGTATGCAAATTATAATACAACAATAAAACATATCAAAAACATTTTTAAACTTGATATAATCAGAAAAACGAAAATTGTTTTTTGAACACTAACATGACTAACATGTACTCCTTAATACAATTGTTTTCCAATTTTTAGCTTTTGAACATTTAGCTGGTGACACACTTCAGGATCACTCCCAATCTAAACTGTTTTATAGATTTATTTTATTTTATTTTATTTATTTGATCGATCTTATTTCCTGAATGCATGCATACTTTTTCTTTTTTTTCAAAATCCATCACTTCTACATCCTTCTTGATTTCTCATTTTCACGTTTTATTGGATCCTCTCATCTCTGGCCCCTTATCAGCGCATTTTACTGAAATTAATGAAATACGTAGGTTGGCTTGAACTGATGAGTTTAAAATGAGCAGTATGAAACCTTTCTCCACTTTCCTAATTTAAATGGCATCTCCAACTGATTACTTTCAGGAAGTGGTATTTATGCACCTGATTTTCCAAGAGCATTTCATTATGATATGAAGACACCAGAGGGAAAACTTATCATCTCAACACTGGATTCTCACCCATCCCATTCCATAGTGAATTGGTCTTCTTACGCCAGCAGTATACATGCATTCCCAACAGGAAACCAAGAATTCAAGGGCACTGTCTTTTTTGATGAATTCACCTTTGTGGAGCTCACAGAAATTGCAGGAAATTACACAGTTTGTCAGAAAGAGCTCTGCTGTCATTTAAGCTATGAAATGTCTGAAAAGAGATCAGATGAAGTTTATGCCTTAGGAGCATTTGATGGACTGCACGTTGTTGAAGGGCGCTATTACCTACAGGTAATTTTTGGTGTCAGAAATTGCAAGGTCAAATACAAACACTCAGGTAAATTTAAGTGTGAGATAAACAGTGAATGATTTCTTAGTATTGTTTAAGTATGTTTCATTTTTTTGAACAAATATTTCCTAAAAATAATTCTTTATTGGAAATTCAAATTTGGTTGGGCAGTCTGCACTTTCATTTTCTAAATCTTGCAATCTTAGTTGTCAGTACAATTTTAAATAGATCAGATCAAAGTAGAACATTATTTGGAGTGCCAACATTAATAAAAATTATTCAGATTGCAGATAATTTTAACAGATAATCAAATACTTATGATATATTCTACCTGAACAAATTTAGACATTTTCCCAAATGTTCACTTATTCCTATCCTGTTTATAACAAAGTCGACTTTTAAGTATGTACTGGAAACAGACGAAGCTGTTGTCTGAGATTTTTCAGTAGAATGGTTTATTCCTTCAAAAATCAGATATCTCACAATCCTCAACATTTAAAAAAGGGGGGCTATTATAATTTGGTAAGATGGAATCCCAAAGAACAAGTGACCTCTATGTTCCTCTCATTCTGCTCTTTTCTTTTTTGGTCTGGCCCCCATCCTATCTCACTCAAATTATTGCAATAGTCTTCTAACACAGCTTTCTATAGACAGTCTCAGATCCATTCACTCCATTTTCAGTGCTACAATCACAAAAATTATAAAATGCCATTTCTGATTTTATTACTCTCCTGCTTAAAATTCCTCAAATTGACAACTAAGTTCCCCAGCAGAACAGACTGTCAGTCTTGATGTTGGGTCCTTTCTGTTTCTCTATCCTCTTCTTTCACTTGTACCCACATGTGCCTTAAGCTTCTATAATATGAAGACATTTTCCCATCTCCAATTTGAAAAGTGTGTGGGGTCTTTGTGCATTTGCGGTTTATTTCCTTTGTCTTTGGTGACCCACATCTAATAATTTCTCATAGAACATTCCTGTTGTTATCTCCACTAAGAAATTTTACCTGACACTTCTGTAGTACCACAGCCATTCCCCAGCTGGGTTGGGTACCTCTTTCATGTCCTCCCAGAACACCCTATGCTTAGCTTATCAAAGTCACATCATGTCATATTATTCACGTACTTGTTTGAGACTGAGCCCCTGAATGCTGGAACTACATCTATTGCAAACATTTTATTTACTCTGCCATTGGTGCTATACCAGTGATTATTCATTTTCATAAACATTTATTGAGTTCCTACCATATACTGGGTACCTATTCATCGCTAATTATAGGAAGATGAATAATATTGAACTTCCCCTTGAGGAATTTAGTCTCTTGGTAGAGGAGAAACACATGTGTCTTTTGTAGTTTTTTATTTTAAAAAATATTATTTTAAAATGAGCATTCTTTGTTCATTTTGTGCCCCAAACACTGGAGCTTCAGAAAGCTCCATTTTTAGTTTAGTATTTTTTTTTCTACTTCTCTGTATAGTCTCCTTTGCAATGTCATTCTCTCTTGCACAGCTTATCCTTCAGTTTCTCAAAACAGTGTTTCTAAATCTAATATTTCTTAAGCAGCAGACCCATACAGTCAATAAATATTTAGAAAACTGAACTCAGTGGTTAATTTAATGTGGAACAGGAATATACTTCATACATTCAATAGCCTCTCTGGTGGTTACAATTGAGTGGCCCATAATAACTTCATGACCAGCAGATACCTAACTGCATATTATGGAGTACATTATAGTAATACAATACATATACAATACATGTACACATTATGCATTAATCATATTGGGTAATAAGCATTTCCACCTCTTCAATCATTAATCATTTTTACATATTGGAAATTTCATAGTCTTCTTTCCTAGTTATTTTGAAATATATTATAGGTTGTTCTGCCCAATGGTTACCCTACTTTGCTAAAGAAAACCCAGGAGAGATCCCTTTAATTAGTGTTGTAAGTATCTCTCATTGAATTTCAGGACATACATTTGGATAGATAACTGCAGTTCAGGTTTACAGGTGAGAGAACATAGAAGGCACACCTTGCTGTAGAAGTGCTAAGGAGCTGAACTTAGTCTAATTAGGGATCCAGGGAAGTTTCTAGAGATGATGCTAGTATCCAGATGAAGAAGAGTGGGAGGGAATTCTCAGTGGAGTGAAGAGCATGAATAAGGAATTGGATGTGTGAAAAAGCAGGGTGTGTAGAAAGAGCAAGGTATTTGCTGTTACCAAGGAATAATAGGAGAAGCAAGAATCGGTGGGGGAAATCCTGGAAGGAACATCACATCCTGAAAGATTGAACATGACACATTTAATAGCAATTCATCTCTTCTTTTGTTTCCTTTACTTTCTGTAGTGTTGGAAAACAAACCTGAACCTCAGCACTGGGTAGGGCAAGTGCTCTATCATTGAGCTACATATCCAGCCCCTCTATGGTACACTTTTATTCTCTGAGTGTTGGTCAGCTCTTGGAAGGTGTTCAGCAAAGAAATAAAATGGTCAGATCTACTTGGAGTAGTTTTTTTTTTTTGCATACTCTGCACAATGAAACTAAGATAAAAAAGATGAGATAGATTATTAAAATAGTTTTTAAAAAAATTCCTGAACCAAGGTTATGTTAGTAGGAATAAGGGAAAAGTATACAGTCAATAAATATTTAGAAAACTGAACTCAGTGGTTAATTTAATGTGAAACAGGAAAGTGGAATGATGGGTCTAGAAAACTTCTGGTTTCTGGAAATAGTGGCTGGGTAGTTGTGATGCTTCTGACAGATCAGGATGCAAGAGGAGCAGATTGGATGGAAATGGGAAGATACTGAGTTCAGTTTGGGATCTGCTGGTCTTGAAGTTATTATGGGTCACTCAACTGTAACCACCAGCGAGGCTATTGAATGTATGGGTCTGATGCTTAGGAAATATTAGATTTAGAAACACTGTTTTTGAGAAACAGGAGGAGAAGCCCTGAAAGAGAGAATGACATTGCAAAGGAGACTATACAGAGAAATACTCAAAACTACTAAACAAATGGAGCTTTCTGAAGCTCCAATGCTTGAGGCACGGAATGAACAAAAGAATAGGAACTTGCAGATAAGATTGAGCAATGTTGGGCTGGGGATGTGGTTCAAGCGGTAGCGCGCTCGCCTGGCGTGCGTGCGGCCTGGGCACCACATACCAACAAAGATGTTGTGTCCGCCGAGAACTAAAAAAATAAATAAATGTTAAAAACTCTCTCTCTCTCTCTCTCTCTCTCTCTCTCTCTCTCTCTCACTCTCTCTTTAAAAAAAAAGATTGAGCAATGAAAAAGAATTAAAAAAAAAACTCTAATGGACACAAAGGATGTAGAAACTCTTCAAAGGGGGAAACTGTGAGGTATATTTGTGTTCTATTTTTACAGATGGGCATTAGTAGGTACAGTCTTGGTGGAATTTTATCTGTTCATTTGAGAGAGTGAAGGACAGATTATAGTGGTTGAGAAGTTAAAGGGTAATAAACATATAGAGAAGAAGGGTGAATAATTTTTCTTTGGAAAGAAACCTTGTCTGAGACAGGAAAAAGAGAAACTAGTCAGGGGCTGAACAGAGACTTATGGTCAGGGAAAAAAAATTTTTTTTCTTCTAGTAGATGAGAAAGCCTTGATTATCTGTATAGGTCTAAGGCAGAGAACAGCAAAAGAAGAAAATGATGAAAATACAGGAGGAACCAATACTCCTAATCAGTTCTTTAAGGTTCTAGAGGAAAGGGAAAAATAGTATTGTGAATATAAGTATATGTCCAATAATTGAAAATCAGATGAACAAACTATATTATAGAAGAATATTTATTGCCATGTATTATATAGCATATTAACTGTTAATATGCTATATAATACATGGCAATAAATAAATATGAAGCATATATTTGGTACTATATAGTCATATAAATTTTTTTTTTAATTTTTTTATTGTTGGTCGTTCAAAACATTACACAGTTCTTAATACATCATCTTTCACAGTTTGATTCAAGTGGGTTATGAACTCCCAACTTTACCCCGTATACAGATTGCTGTATCACATCAGTTACCCTTCCATTGATTGACATATTGCTTTTCT